GAAGACTCATAAACCCTAAATACCCTTATGCTTGCTTTGACAATTCAACAGAGACTCATAAGCCCTAAATACCCTTAAGACCCGTCAATTTGCTCGGAGTTGATGTCTCTACTGGAAGATAATGTAATATCCTTTTTCAGTTGTTGAGCTTTATGAAAGGCTACAAATTTGAACTCCCTTTGAAGCTAAGATTCCCTAGGAGGAGGAGAAGAATAAGGAGTACAATGAGAAGGAGAAAAAGGAGGAGGATAAGAGTGAAAAAGAAGAAGAATGAGGGAGGAGGAGCAGGAGAACGAAAAGGAAAGGAGAAACTAGAGAAGAAGCAGAAATAGGAAAATCGGCCGGAAAAAGGAGGGAGGAGGAAAAATGATACGAAGGAGAGAGGAGGAGAAGAATGATGAAGAAAGAGGAAAAGGAGAAGAAACAGAAGGAAAAGGAGAAGGAGAAAGAGGGGGAGCGAGGAGTATGAGGCTGGTGAAGGAGAGAAGAGAAGTCGCTCAAAAGATCAAAATTTTTGGCGTCTCTAAGGAACATCGATGACTTGCGAGAAACGGAAATAAAATAAAATCACATAGAAAAAGAGCAATGATTCCATAATCCATAAATTTACAAGGTGTATACAAACATATACACACATAGATACCCATAGAGAGAAGGAGAAAGGGAAACTGGTGCAATGATAGATTAAATTAGAAACTATGTATTTCTTGGGTTTGAGACGAACTTACAGGCTTGCTTTGACAATTCAACGGAGACTCGTAAGTCCAAAGCAGTGGCAGATCCATAATGGGGGCAATGGGGGCAGTTGCCCCCATTGGAATTTTAAAATTTTTAGGGCATAAGTATAATTTTAAAAGTTTTAAAATTTATTAGAAATTTGCCCCCACTGAATTTTGTTTAAAAGATTTATATGCAGTTATGATATTTTGACAAATATACGGGTCCCTTGTAAATGTCAAAAAAATTCCTTTAAAAGGCTAAATGCCTCCATTATGGGTTAGATTAAATTATATTGTTTTGGTGTTTTGAATAGTTTTATTGTGATTGGTTAAATAATTCTTATACCAAAGTTNTCAAACTTTATGGCGACTGTAAAGAACATTGGTGACTTGAGAGGAATGGAAACTAAAATAGAATCACATAAAAAAACAATGACTCCATAAAACCATAAATTTACGGTGTGTATAGATATATATATACTTATAGAGAGAGATTTAGAGAGGGAGAAAGGCAAAATTGTGCAATGGGAGATCACATTCGGAACTAAGTATTTCTTGGGTTTGTGATGAACGAAGACTCATAAACCCTAAATACCCTTATGCTTGCTTTGACAATTCAACAGAGACTCATAAGCCCTAAATACCCTTAAGACCCGTCAATTTGCTCGGAGTTGATGTCTCTACTGGAAGATAATGTAATATCCTTTTTTAGTTGTTGAGCTTTATGAAAGGCTACAAATTTGAACTCCCTTTGAAGCTAAGATTCCCTAGGAGGAGGAGAAGNGGTCCAAAGTGCTCCAAGACGGGAATATAACGTAATATCTCCTAGTTGCTGAACTTTATGAAAGGCCACAAATTGAACTCCCCTTGAAGCTAAGATTCCCTAGGAGGAGAAGAAGAATAAAGACAATGAGAAGAAGGAGAAAAAAGAGGAGGAGAAGAGTGAGGAGGAGAAGAAGAAAGAGAAGGAAAAGGAAAAAAAAGGAGAATGATAAAACACAAAAGGATGGACAAGGAGAAGGAGAAGCAAAAGGAAAAATAGGGCAAGAAGGTGGAAGAGATGCAGAAGATGAATTAGAAGGAGAAATAGAAGAATGAGGGAGAAAATGGAAAAAGAGGAGAAAAAGGAGAAAGAGGAAAAGCGATAGGAAAGAGAGACGAGAAAGAGAAAGATGAGGAGAAGATTGAAGGAGGAACAGTGGAAAGAGGAAAAGAAGAGGGAGAAAGAGAAGTAAGAGGAAAAGTAGGTGAAGGAGAAGAAGAGAAGAGAAGTCACTCGAAAGATCAAGACCCGTCAATTTGCTCAGAGGTGATGCCTCTTGATTGGAAGGTAATGTAAATAGNAGAAGATCAAGACCCATCAATTTGCTCAGAGGTGATGCCTCTTGATTGGAAGGTTATGTAAATAGCCCCCTTTTAGTTGCTGAGCTTTATAAAAGGCCATAAATTTGAACTCCCCTTAAAGCTAACATTCCCTAGGAGGCAAAGAAAATAAGGAGAAAAGGGAGGATAAGAGCGAAGAAAGAAGGGGAGGAGGAGGAGAAAAAGAAGAGAAATGAGGAGAAGGAAGAGGAAAAGTAAGGGAAGAAAGATGAAAAGATGTAGAAGATGAAGGAGAAGGAGAAATAAAAAAGGAGGAAGAAGAAGAATGAGGGAGGAGGGAGGAGTAGGAGTACGAGAGCGCAGAGAGAAAGAGAAAAAGGAAAATCAGCTGGAAAAAGACGGAGGAAAAGCGACAAGGAGAGAGGAGAAGAATGAAGAAGAACAAGAACAACAAGAACAAGAAGGAGGAGTAGCAAGAGAAGAAGGAGAAGAAAAAGGAGAGGAAGAAGGAGAAAGAGGAGGATGAGGATGAGAAGCAAGAGGAAAAGCAGGGGAAGAAGGAGGAAGAGATGCAAAAGAAGAACTAGAACACGAGGATGAAGAAGAAGAGTGAGGGAGGAGAAGGGAAAAAAAAGGAGGAAAAGGAGAAAGAGGAAAATTGACNAGCATGAGGATGAAGAAGAAGAATGAGGGAGAAGGAAAAAAAAAGGAGAAAGAGGAAAATTGACAGGTAAAAGGAGGGAGGCGGGAAAACGATGGGTAAGAGAGACAAGAAAGAGGAAAAGGAGGAGAAGATTGAAGAAGCAGGAGGAAGAGTGGCAAGAGGAGAAAGAGAAGGAGAAAAAGGAGAAGCAAGAGGAAAAGTAGGTGAAGAAGGAGGAGAGAAGAGAAGTCACTCGAAAGATCAAGACCCATCAATTTGCGCGAAGGTGATGCCTCTTGACTAGAAGGTAATGTAATATCCCCTTTTAGTTGCTGAGTTTTATGAAAGGCCATGAATTTGAATTTCCCTTAAAGCTAACATTCCCTAGGAAACGAAGAAAATAAGGAAAAAAAGGAGGATAAGAGTGAAGAAAGATGGGGAGGAGGAAAAGGAGAAGGAGAAGGAGAAGGAAGAGAAAAAGTAAGGGAAGAAAGAGGAAGAGATGTAGAAGATGAAGGAGAAAGAGAAAATAGAAGAGGAGGAAGAAGAAGAAAAAAAAGAATGTGGGGGGAGTAAGAGCAAGAAAGCACAGAGAACGCGGAGAGAAGGAGAAAAAGGAAAATCGGCTGGAAAAAGAAGGGAGGAAAAACAACTGGAAGGAGAAATGAGAAAAAAAGGTGAGGATGAGGATGAAGAGGAGGAGGAAAAGGAGAATAATGAGAAAGAATAAGGAGANAGACTTCTTTGAATGCAGGTATAGTTGGACATTCTGCTCCAGGATGTCCTGACAACACACAAATTTCACATATTTGATCAGTAGTAGATACCACAAATACTTGCTTAATTTTTTTTTCATTTCTAAGGCTTCTAGTTTTCGAGATAAATTAGCTATTTTAGCTCTTAAGTCATCATCTTCTTTTAATGCATATTTTCCTCTTTCAGATGTAGATGACTTATTTTCCACTATATTTGAAGAAGTTGAGTCCCACATCTGGGAACTTTTATAAATAGTATCNGGAAAAAGGAGGGAGACGGGAAAGTGATAGGAAGGAGAGATGAGAAAGAGAAGGATGAGGATGAGGAGGAGCAAGAGGAAAAGTAGGTGAAGAAGGAGATGGAGAAGGAGAAGGAGAGAAGAGAAATCACTCAAACGATCAAGACTCGTCAATTTGCTCGGAAGTGATGCCTCTTGACTGGAAGGTAACATAATAGCCCCTTCTAATTGCTGAGCTTTATGAAAGGTCATAAATTTGAACTGCCCTTAAAGCTAACATTCCCTAGGAGGCAAAGAAAATAAGGAGAAAAAGGAGGAGGATAAGACCAAAGAAAGAGGGGGAGGAGGAGGAGAAAGAAGAGGAAAAGTAAGAGAAGGAGGAAAAGATGTAGAAGATGAAGGAGAAAGAGAAATAGAAAAGGAGGAAGAAGAAGAAGAATGAGGGAAAAGTAGGAGAGCACTGAGAGAAGGATAAAAAGACAAATCGGCTGGAAAAAGAAGGGAGGAGAAAAAGTGACAAAAAGGAAAGAGGAGAAAGTGAAGGATGAGGAGGAGGGGAAGGAGAAGAATGAGGAAGAACAAGAACAAGAAGAATAAGGAGGAGTAGCAAGAGGAGAAGGAGAAGAAACACATAAGGAATGAGAGGGAGAAGGAGAAAGAGGAGGAGGATGAGAAGCAAGAGGAAATGGAAGGGAACAAGGAGTAAGAGATGCAGAAGAAGAACTAGAAGAGGAGGAAGAAGAAGAATGAGGGAAGAGAAGGAAAAGGAAAAGGATGAGAAGAAGAAGGAGAAACGGGAAAATCGATGGAAAAAAGGAAGGAAGATGAGTAGATTGAGGAAGGAGGAGTGGCAAGAGGAGGTGAGGGAGACGGAAGAAAAG